TTTTTATTGAATTATTCGTCAACTAATTTAGTAATTGATTAATCATTAACTGGAGTATAGCGACTGTAAAACATGCCTTTAGCTGACATAGCTACCCACTTAGATCAATAATATGAGAATGGTAAAAAATAAATAAAAATAAAAAAAATTGCATTTTAGATAAACAAGATGTTTGGGTCTGTCAATGTGCTATCCAGTTTTAGTTACACCTGATTTAATTTAGTAAAAAATCTTCTTTAAGGAATCTTTGGCTATGCGATTATTAATGGATTAATCTAAAAAATAATCGACAGATTGATCGATTTGCAAAATAATCGTCAGTTGCCTAATGCAACACAATATAACTTCAATCAAATCAAACTTCTGTAAAATCAAACTTTCTTTAAAACTAATTGACTATCAATTTGACAGTTTGTTGTGCAAATGTAATAGACAACAGGTGGAAATAATTTGCAATTAGCAAGACACACCGAATAAAGGAGTGTTTCTGCAGGTAACTCTGTATTGCTTTGCATTTGCCAGAATCCAATCCAGAATCCAAATACAGACTTTTATCTGTTAATGAATCTGACTGATTTAAATTGTTTAGTTTTTTGTTTGAGTGATTTTGTTGTCAACACATTCAACTTTATACAGAACAAAATATTCAATGAGAATATTTCAAACATTCAGATATAGGATGTGTTATTCGAGTTTTCCCTTTATTTTGTATCAGTGTATGTATGCACAAACAGTTGCACAAATTACTAACACACTATCTTATTTTGAAAAACTTAACCGGAAACAAACACTTTAACAACTTCCGACTTGACTTTATGGTTCCTCGGCGAAGAGAGAGAGAGAAAAAAAGAAAAAATATCCAGAGAGTAACGGGAGCAGAACAGGCGTGGAAATTAAATTTAACAGGGAATAGAACACGCGTGGACGCATAAAAACACACTTTAAAGAGGTAAGCAGGCGTGGGGTTTTCGGTTTAGTTTATTGCCTGACTTAGTTGTGGTTTTCCTTTTTGTTTTGGAAAGATGTGGAAAAGCATCAGAAGTGTTTGGAAAGCTGTTGAACAGTTGGGGCGGTTCAGGTTTGCACTGATTACTGCAGCAGGATACACACAGAGAAAAAGGGGATTATAATCCTAATAAAAAAGGAAAAACTGCTAAAGATTTAGTCACTTTTATGAATGCAAGTTTGGTCAAAAGTTAATTCAGATAATGATAAATTAATGTAAAAGCACGCCTGAGATGTTGCTCTGACCTTAAACATTCTTGTGCATAATAGATTTCCAGACTTGTTACTTTGGTTTTAAAGGAAACATCCTGTTTGGAGGGGAACCAGACCCCCCTCTGCAGGCTCTCTGTGGGGGGGCTGCTCTGACCTACAGGAAAGATGATAAAAGGCCAATTGTCCCACATCTGAGAAAAGCTGCAGTATATTCTTGTCTTATCAGATATTCCCCTACAATGCATCACTAAACAATGACAGCTTGTTTGCCCCTTTGTTTAAACTCTTCAAATCTTTAGCAACACATGCATTTTTTATGTTTCCTGAACTCGGTTTAAATGGTATCCTCTTCTTTTCTTAGATAATCAAAGACGAAGCAAACCAGGATGAAGATCCCTGCTTAAAGCATCCCTGCTGCTTTCTTGGGTCTGGACAGAAAGAACCAACAAAAAACACTTTTCTTTCCCTACAGAGCACAAATAATCCCTGCAGTCATGGCGAACATGTGCCCTTATGGCCGTTTCACCCACGCTGTGGTCAGGGGCATCCCAGAGACCTTTGGGAAAACAGCTGGAGACGGCCGTGAGAACGGGGAGGTCACGCTGGACCAGGCCAAAGCCCAGCGTCAGTTTGGCTGCCTGACTGGAGCGCTGAGGCAGAAGGTGGGCCTGCAGCTGATCGAGATCCCCCCTGACCCCGAGCTGCCGGAGAGCTGGAGGATAGAGGATGTGGCGGTGATCCAGGGAGACACAGCGCTCATCACCAGGCCGTTCAAACAACAGAGACGCAGCGAGGTAACACAGCAGACTAAAAAAATCCTCCAGTGATGCTCTTAATCTCCTGTTTATCCAGATTGCGATGGAAAACCAAGCTCTCAATATTTATCAAAACATGGATGGCAGAAAATACTCAACCCCCTGACATGTTTTTCTCTTTAGGTTAATCAATCAAAGCAGAGTTATTGGTATTATGCAGGCTAACTTCCTGTTTAAAAGCTCTATCCATCAATTAGCTATCTGCCCATGCATCATTTTTTATCCACCAGTCTATTTAACCGCTTCTCTGTCTATGTTTCCTTTCATCTTAATCGATCCACCCTGAAAACTGTAACTGTTTATCATAGATTTCAATAAATTTGCATTAATCCTATAGCGGGGCTGAAAACCTCTGATGTCTTTAGAAGGTTAATTTAATAAAAAAGTATTTCTGTTTATTTTAATTTACATTTCTTAATATTAAACACACTAGTAATATTTAAATTAGATTTACTCGGTATGGTTTAAGGAATAGGGTCTCAAAGAAAAACAAACAAAATCCTTTTTTACTTTAAAGGACCAATGTGTAGTATTTAGTGCCATCTAGTGTTGATAATATGAACTGCAACACCTTTGAAGTTTTAACAGCTATGTGTTTTCTGGATCTGTTCTCCTCCTCCTAAGGTGGATGCAGTCAGGAGAGTGATGTCAGAGCTCAACCTGACCATAGTGGAGATGGGGGATGAACAAGGGGACTCTGGAGGGGCCACGCTGGAGGGCAGCGACGTCCTCTTCACGGGGAGAGAGTTCTTCGTTGGGATTTCCTCCCACACTAACCGGAGAGGAGCTGAGGTGCTGGCAGACACGTTCAGGGTAAGGAGAGGAGAGAGACGTGTTAAAGAGGGATTTGGTAAAAGCAGATGACTGTAAATCATGGATGAAACAGGATTTGACCAACAAGTGAGCTCTTAAAGAGCAGCTGGCTCAAACTTGGAGCAAAGCAGAGGATCAACTATATAATGATGTGCTCAGGGTTTTAGCATGGTATATAGAAATCTTTAAAAAGTCTAAATGTGAAGGATTTTCAGGTCTGAATACTTAGACAAAATGTTTTAATCTCTACTCTGTTTACTCCTTTTTAAGACTTCCCAATTTTTTACCTCCCTGATCAATCTGGAGTCATGCTCAGAAGCAAATTTCTCTGTAAATAAAGGATTAGCCTGAAACAGGGAAAGCTCCAGAATACAATACATTGTTTCATACAGTTTCTAGAGTTTAAAGTACTTGCAGAGTTTTGTGGCCAGTGAGAAGTGTTCAGTTACCATATTTGTCCAGTGCAGTAAGGACCGGCCCGGTGCCAGGACTAGCTGTAAACAGAGAGTCTCTGCCAAAGTGAGCAGGTGGTCATTTGCTTTATTACATTTTGGGGAATTCTTGTCTGCGAGCCATGATGAATGAGGTCGCCTCTTTCCTCGGATAATGAAGAACTGCACGCTGCACTCCCTCAGGTCTGATGAGAACCACCCATTAGCATTGATTTTCCCCACTTGAGCAGAGTGCATCTCACTCCTTTGCTCACACACATGGCTTTATGGATGCTGTGTGGGTGGATGGCGGTGGTGTTTGTGCACTTGGGGTGGAGGACTGAACAGGAAGCGTTTGTGTCATGCTCATATGTTTTCTGCTTCTGAGGAATTTGACCCACTTTCCCGAGTTCTGTAACTTATTTTTTTAAATGCTGCTAGAAATATGGATAAAAATCTGAGGCCAAGGTTTACTTAGCATCTGATCGCTTTATCATCCAAAGCACTAAATAATAGCTCTAAAAACTGTTGTTGCCTTTTCCATAACAAGAAGCAAACACACAAAGGCTGTGTCCCTATCCCCTCGCTTACTATATAGAGCAGGGACTATAGAGTGAACTTAATTAACTGACCATTCGAATAGATAATCACTAATTTTACCATTTCCATTTATTGAAAAGAAAACGTTTTGCTGGAATTGTGAAAGCACCCATATTTGTAGCTTTCATGTTGAGTTAAAGTACATGCAGTGGGATGACATGAGTTTACTGGACCCCTATCTGCCCAGGACTTTGCTGTGTCCACTGTCCCTGTCTGTGGGGGAGCCCGACTGAAGGATTTCTGCTCCATGGGCGGGCCGGACACCATCATCATCAGCAACAGTGACGGTGCCAAGAAGACCCTCAGGGTGAGAGTGTGTTCCCCTTAGATTACATACAGATGGGTTTATTCCAACATGGTGCATTTCTGTCACGTGTTGCTTTGTGAATAAAAAAGACATATTTGGTTTGAAAAGATGGCCAAATATGTCAATCTGTTAATCTGCTTGTTCAGAGTCCAAATGATACTTTTGTAATTTAAATGACAAATATTTTATTTGATTTAAATGTGAGGTTATAATCTTGTAATGGGCTTAAATGTGTTGTTTTATTAGGCGTGGGTTTTTTTTCTCCTGTGTGCAACTCCTGCTGTTTTGATTTCAGATGATGGAACAGCTGACTGATCACCACTACGAAGTGCTCACCGTCCCAGAAGAATCTGCTGCTAACTGCATCTACATTAAAGGCCCATCTAAACGAGACTTCCTGCTGCACAGACCTGCAGAGGAATGTCCCGACAGCGTCTCTGTGAGTACTTTTTTTTTCTACAAAGAGAGGGAAAAACATTTGTTTTTTGTTTTCCAGTACAAACAATAAATAAAGGCTAAACAATTCTGATTAAATTTTACAAATATTTGTCCAAATATATCAGTGGAAACTACCATAAATCACAGAGAGATTAAATTAAAAGGTACAAGTACTTAAATCCAAAATGGCGACTCTCACCATAGATATTAGAGCAACAAAATTGTTTCTTCAGTTAACTGGAACGTCCAGTGGAAGTGAAAAGGGTGATACATATTCACAAGCAACAGCGATAACTTCACTCTAGTGAGGATTGTGAAGTAAAGTCATGCTTAGAGTCTGGGAGAGATTCACAAAGAGGCTGGAATCAGAGCCTTAAGGAGTCACCCATCTATCCCGACCTTCAATGGTACCAATATCTGCTC